TCTCTTGGTGATCCTAAATAATATAATATAATAATAATAATAATAATAATAATAATAATAATAATGATAATAATAATAATAATAGTAATAATAATAGTGAATAAATAAAATTAATTATTATAATAATCATAATAGCCTAAGAAGGAAGAAGAAAAAGAAGAAGGAAGAAGAAGGAAGAAGAAGGAAGAAGAAGAAGAAGAAGAAGGAAGAAGAAGGAAGAAGAAGAAGAAGAAGAAGAAGAAGAAGAAGAAGAAGAAGAAGAAGATAACTAGGCCGCCACCTAGATGGTCAGAAGAAATGTATTCATCCGCCAATCTGCCAATCTGATAATGCTGAACTTTTAACCTGTCCGCGCGCTCATAATAAATATATGACCTTATATATAAACCACTCCTCACCCCACTCTTAATCCCATTTAGGCTACTCCTCCTCCTTCTTCTCCACAAATGCCTTCGAAAAAAAAAAGAGAGAATATTTCGACATAAACATGTTTGTCAGTGTCCTGAAGGACTTTATTCTATTGTTGGTAGGCTACTATTCCATGGGAAAACAGCGGAGAGGTGGGATGGTGAGAGGGGAAATACCGGGAAGTAAGAAAACATACCAACTGTCACAGGTGGGATAGCATTATATTTATATGTGTATTATTATTGTCATTAGTGCGTTAATGTCCAGTGGCCGGTGTGGGTACACGTATCTCTATCTATCTATCTATCTATCTATCTGTCTGTCTGTCTATCTATCTGTCTGTCTGTCTGTCTGTCTGTCTGTCTGTCTGTCTGTCTGTCTGTCTGTCTATCTGTCTATCTATCTATCTATCTATCTATCTATCTATCTATGTCTGTCAGTCTGTCTGTCTGTCTGTCTGTCTATCTGTGTCTGTCTGTCTATCAATCTATGCTATGTATATGGCCTACTCACAATGCTTGAGAAACACCAGATGCACTTAAGGAAGATCAATTAAGATCAGAGCAACAACAAAAAATCGTAACCAAATAAAGCAGCAACGACGACAAACACAACAACAACAACAACAATAACAACAGCAACGACGACAATCACAACAACAACAACAACAATAACAACAGCAACGACGACAACCACAACCACAACAACAACAACAACAATAACAACAGCAACGACGACAACCACAACAACAACAACAACGCCAGACGCTGAAAACCAACACGTGGACGGATCGGGATATTTTCTTCTCAGTTTATTTGTCAATCGGAATAAATAATAATGACAGTGACAATGACAATCTTTATTCATCTCGCAGGGAGAAATTTGTCTTGGTCGTTAACAATGGCAGTAGACGTTACAAAGGTTAGGTGAACTCACGCATACGCACAACAAGACAGGACATTAGTAAATACATGTCTCACGTGCTGAAACAACACGCTCCGTAAAACATTCTCTCTCTCTCTCTCTCTCTCTCTCTCTCTCTCTCTCTCTCTCTCTCTCTGTTTCATTTGTAGCACTGTGTGTTCAGTATCCTCACAGCAGTGAGTAAGAATGAATTTCTGTTTGTTTTTGCTTTTTTTTAAATGTATCGTTTACCACGGGTCTCGGATAAGGACGATAAAGTTTCAGAGGTCCCCTGTGCAAGTTTTGCACGTTCAAAATCCTTGGTGGTCCTAATATCGACAAGAGTAGACTTGGTGGTCCTAATTACCTAATATCGACAAGAGTAGACTTGGTGGTCCTAATTACCTAATATCGACAAGAGTAGACTTGGTGGTCCTAATTACCTAATATCGACAAGAGTAGACTTGGTGGTCCTAATTACCTAATATCGACAAGAGTAGACTTGGTGGTCCTAATTACCTAATATCGACAAGAGTAGACTTGGTGGTCCTAATTACCTAATAACGACAAGAGTAGACTTGGTGGTCCTAATTACCTAATATCGACAAGAGTAGACTTGGTGGTCCTAATTACCTAATATCGACAAGAGTAGACTTGGTGGTCCTAATTACCTAATATCGACCCTAATATATATCGACAAGAGTAGACTTGGTGGTCCTAATTACCTAATATCGACCCTAATATATATCGACAAGAGTAGACTTGGTGGTCCTAATTACCTAATATCGACCCTAATATATATCGACAAGAGTAGACTTGGTGGTCCTAATTACCTAATATCGACCCTAATATATATCGACAAGAGTAGACTTCGGCCGCCACCCGGGACAAAACTCAAAAATAATTCCTACCAAACTGAAAATGCTAAGTGTCCCACGTGCTCATATAATGACTATACATAGTTGCGAGCGCCGTAAAACGCGTATTAAAAATAAATAGATAGATAAATGAATAAATAAATGAACAGGAGACAAGTAGATCAATAAATGTGTCGCGTCCATGTTGCCCACAGTCTTCAGACAAAGGTAAACCGGAAGTCCATTCCTTGAGCCTCCTTGGCAATGAAGTCGTCTAGCATCTCGCTCTGGGCCACGGTCAAATGGTTCTTCCAGTCGCCCACTTGACCTGGGGCGGGGAGGGGAGAAAGATGGCGGGGTCCGTTTTATGTCAATGGCGAATGGAATTACATATGTATACCGTACATGTAGAAAGCAGTGCATTTCTTCTTATCTTAAAAGACACGTTTTTTAAAAAGTCTTCAAGCAACAGTCTAGTTTTTGCTTGTATTATTTATTTATGTATTTATTTATGCATTTATATATATATTTTTTTAATTGATTTATAATTTATGTATTTGTTTAGTATGTTTTCATTAATGTATTTGTTCATTATGTATTTATTTATGTATTTATGTATAATATGTATTTACGGGGGCGGAGGGGGGGGGGGGGGGTTGATGTGTGCCTGTACCCTCAATGTTGTGAGAGGCTGCATAAAGTGGACAGACTGACCAATGGGAGAATGCCACGATAGACCTCACCTTTTCTGTACATGTTGATTGGTCCACTTTTGAACTCTTTGGCCATGGTTCCGTCCCCCTTTTTTCTCTGCGGGTCTATCTCCTTCATCTTGGAGAAGCTGAAAAGCAGAAACAAAAATCTTGTGAAATGCCTGCATGTTGGAGGTGTGGGGCAGGGTGGACGTAAAAATAGTATGTGTGATTATACATCAATATGTCATGTACTTAGAATATTATTGTCTGAAAACTCACGCACGCACGCACGCACACACCTTTTTCAAATAAAAGCAAGTAGAGTTTTCTCTATAACCAAACAAATATTACCACAAGTGAAACTAAACTTCTCGTATAGGTATGGCAATGGCCACTTTTGGTGGAGGTCAAGATTTCTGGAAACCCCCGATATTTGGGTTAGCCCGCTTGTCCTTAAAAGCGACCAAGTCGTCCTTACCTGCAGGCGTCCACTACTTCTTTACAGAAATCTTCCGTGACGTCGAGCCCGAGAAACTTGGCGAGGTCTTTGGTCACGGGGACAGGATTCTGGGGAGAAAATTGTTCCGTTCTACTGTTAGATTATATTTATGAGGCATCGTGGGGAAATCAGGCGCTCGTCATAATAATGAAATCGAAGACAACGGCATATTCACGATGGTTTGGTATTTT